CCGTCGACGGAGGGGAATTTTCCAGTAGCTGAGTTGGAGTGCTTCGTGCCGGCGGTGAGAGAGAAACCTGTGAGGTCCGGTCACCGGAGGATGACCAAAAGCGCTACTCAAAGTAAGTTATTTTTTTTAATGTTTATTATTTTCATCTTTTCATTTTGGTATATCTATCCATTTTATGGATATTTGAATTATTTTCGTCATTTTAAACTTTTGCATGGATCTTATGGTATATTTATATATTTTAAAAAATATTTAAATGGAAGTTAGTATCAGAAAAGATGGGTAACTATAATCATGGATGTTATTAGACCATATAGGCTTATATATAGTAATTTTATAAATATAGTTACACCTGTCGTCCTCTTATCATTTTGGAAACTTATTCATAAAATTTAAATATAAATATAGCTACTAAAACAAATCGATTCGTGAGCACAACTCGACTTATTAAAGCTAGAGTTTGGCTTAACTTATTTAGTTAAAACTCGAGAATATAGATTTCGTACAATTTATGTATATCAGCATGGTAAGAGTCTGAGCAAAGCAATTTATATATAATGTTATATAGAATAATTCGTTAAGACTCTTGGTTCGTTAAGATTTGAGAACTGATTAAAAATTGATTATCAAAAGATCGAGCTCAACTCCTCTTGTTTACACCTCTATTCCAAAATACACTCTACTTGATTTTTATAATTAATTATTATTTTAACTTTCTTTTTTTTCTAATATTAGAAGTGAGGAGGCCAAAGGTGGAGGCTCACGACGAGACTCTAGACACTGTGTGGAAAAAAATAAAAGAGGGGGCCCCACAAGCCGGCCACGAGTCGGCCCCTCCTCAAGAAGTCCGGCAAAAGCTGGTGGCTCAGCTTCTACAGCCAGCTGTCCAACTTAGACGGGACCACATGTCGAAGTCGAAGAGTTTCAAGGAGCGGAGGGTCCGCAAGGACCCTCCATCGATCCAAAAGGAGCACTCACCGAGTCTCGACGAGTTGAATCGGCGAGTGGAAGCGTTTATCAAGAAGTTCAACGAGGAGATGAAGCTGCAGAGGCAGAAATCGTTGGATGAGTACATGGAGATGATCAACCGTGGGGCTTAAGTAACTCCTACAATTAATCTGAAAAATATGTATATAAAATACGAGAGGAATTCTAACTTTTTTTTTTCTTTTTTCTTTTTTTCTTTTAAAAAAAAGGGTGAAAACAACTTGAAATGTTTTTTTTAGGTTTTCAAGTCATTGAATATATATATTTCTATTGTCAATGTGAACAATTGACTATTTGGAATGTTCTCAAATATACTAATTTTTATTATATGGTTTATGTGTAGTGTAACTTAATTTTATACTTATGTACAATTGACT